ATTAGGGCCATCAATGAGGGAATTGGGTCAAACCTGAGAACCTTGGCACAGGGATTACATAGGCTATCGGAAATCAGGAAGGACACCAACACAGAGAAGGCACAAATTGATCAGTGGGACATACTAAAAAACACTTAAGTACATCGAAAGAATTCACCAAGAGAGTAATAAGAGAGACTACAGAATGGGAAAACATCTTTGGCAATGACACATCCGATAAAGGCCTTATTACTAAAACCTATAACACACTGCTAAACTACAACAAGACAAAAAGCAATTGTCCACTCAGGAGGTGGGCAAAGGACCTGAGCCGGAGTTTCTCAAGGGCAGAAATCCAAATGGTCAATAAATATATGAGAAATGTTCCAGATCTCTAGCCATAAGAGAAATACAAATTAAAACAACTATGAGATACCACCTAACACCCTCAAAGATAGCCCAATTCAAGAAATCAGAAAGTAATTAAGTGTTAGAGGGGACGCGGAGAGATAGGAACTCTTGTCCACTGCTGGTGGACCTGTAGATATGTACAGCCACTATGGAAATCGATTTGGTGATATCTAAAACAGTTGGAAATTGAGCTACCCTATGATCCAGCAATCCCCCTACTGGGCATATACTCAGAAAAGACAAAAAACAAACCACGGCCCGACATCTGTGCTCCAATTTTCATCAGGGCACAGTTCACAGTTGCAAGGAGTTGGAAACTGCCCAAATTTCCATCAACAGATGAATGGATTAAAAAACTCTGGTACATACATACAATGGAGTATTACACATCCCTAAAAAGCAGTGATGAACGCATGAAGCACATCGCTGCATGGGAAGAATTGGAGGAAATTATGCTAAGTGAAGTAAGCCAAACACAAAAGGACAAGTACTACATGAGTCCGCTTGCTAAGGTAAGTGCAAAAAAAAAAATTTTTTTTTCTTTCAAAAAGGGCATAGGGAAGATGCTGTATACATAATGTCCCTGGAGTGAGGTCCAGGTAATATGGCAGGGGCCAGACTAAACCCAGGGACACATATGGGATACATATGGTAGCCCACTAAAAGGGAGGAGGGAAAAAGGTATGGGGAGCCCGGGGAACAGGGCACTAAGCCACACAGGGGGAGGGTGTTAATTGTGTCTCCACAGGGAAAGAGGGACCAGACTTCAACCCGGAGCTCCAAGACAGGAACGCAACACACTGACATGAAGTAAGGAACTGATGGAGAGGCCTGCGGGGCTGGCCCCATTACCAACTGGGTGCACGGCACCACCCTTCCCCAGGGGTAATTCACTTCAGAGGACAGCACTGAAGCTGCAGCTTGGGAAGAGGGAAAGGGGGACTGGTCTGGTTGGAGCGCATGTGAGCCAATGAGAGGGGAAGGGGAAGAAAAGGAAAGAGTGGAGCACATCCTGGCTCACTGAGCCCTGGGGACAATGTGCATCTAGCATTAGCAAAAGTGGTGAAGAAAGCAGATGGTGCCCGGCTATCAAATGACACAGCATCTGGGGTCTTAAAGGCTTAAAGACAAACAGGCGTCCATCTAGCTAAGAAACAACAAAATCCACAAGGAAGAAGCACACCAGCCTACCCCGACACGAATGCTGAAGACAAAGCGGGTACATAAGCAAATGCGGTGAAGAAAGCTGATGGTGCCAAGCTGTCAAATTACACAGAATCGGGGGTCCCACATGCTGGAAGATAAACAAGGGGCCATCTAAATGAGAGACAAGAAAGCCCACATGGAACAAGCACACCAGCCTGTAAGATGACAAGGCGGCGAAGGGGACAGGTATCAGACATCAAAGACCAAAAAAAAAAAAATCATAACATTGTGAATGAGAGGGAGTGCAGAGTGGGGACCCAGGGCCCATCCGGGGGAAATTGGACATCCCCTTGCAGAAGGGCTGTGGGGAGGAGAGGAGCAAGTCGGGGTGCAGTGTACTAACGATGAAATATGCAATTTTCCTCTAGTTCTTAAATGCCCCCCCCCCCCACCCAACTACCATGATCCCAATTCTACCTTACATATCCGTTTGGACCGGAGGATGTACACTGGCACAGATAGGAACTGGAAATACAGTGAACCCAGGACAGATGAACTCCCCAGAACCAGTAGAGAGAGTGGCGATAGGGGGAGGGTGGAGGGAAGGTGAGGGAGAAAGGGGGAACAGATGACAAGGTCTGCATATGGCCTCCTCCCTGGGGGACGGACAGCGAAGTGGGTGAGGGAGACGATGGATGGGGTAAGATATGATAAAATAATAATAATTTATAAATTATCAAGGGTTCAGGGGGAGGGGGGAGAGGGGGGGGAATGAGCTGACACCAAGGGCTCAAGTGGAAAGCGGGTGTTGTGAGAATGATGAAGTCAACACATGTACTAATGTGCTGGACACAAATGACATATGTACAGATTGTGATGAGTTGTATGAGCCCCTAATAAAATGATAAAAAAAAAAAAGGTAACTAGAGGAAGAAATCCTATTCTCATTACCGAAATCTTATTTAAAACCCTAGTTTTGCACAAAGGACAGACACCGTTGGGACTTTTGATGACTTTATTCACTAGAATAGATTAAAAAAGACAAGCAAGCACAAAATAATTCTCTTCTTCCTTGAAACAGCTAAAATGTATCAATCTGGACTTCAATTTATCAAAAGAACTACTGAAGGTACTAAACTCTCTCATCTAATAAAAAGATGGTTTTCTTTGTTGATTAAAAAAAAAAGAATCTAAGTGTAGCCTCCTCCCTGGGGGATGGACAACAGAGAACAGGGCGGAGGGAGACGTTGGACAGTGTAACTTATGATAAAACTATAATAATTTATGAATTATGGAGGGTTCATGAGGGAGGGAGGGGGAAACTGATATTAAGGGCTAAAGTAGAAGGCAAATGTTTTAAGGATGAGGGCAACAAATGTACATATGTGCTTGACACAGGGATGTATGTATGGATTGTGATAAGAATTGTACGAGCCCCCAATAAAATAATTTAAAAAAAAATTAACCAAGACCCTTCATGTTAACCATTTTTAAAGATGTCTTTGCCCAAGACAAAGGAGTCCTGGCGGTGTTGTGGGTGAGGCATTGGGCTGCTAATTGCAAGGTCAGTGATTCAAACTCACTAGATGCTCCAAAGAAGAAAGATGAGGCTCTCTTCTCCCATAGATTTAGTCTTTGAAATTCTATTTAGGGTCTTGATGAGTTGGAATCCACTCAATGACAGTGGGATTGATTTTTAGTGTGTCCCTCCCCACCCCCCCAAGATAAGACATGCAGGTGAGAACCATAAGTGGAGGTACTTACCTTTGAGGGGTATAGAGGCCTTGTTTACTGAGGTCCTGGGATCTTAATTCTTGCACAGAGAGGCGGCCAGCACCACCAGTGGAAACGGAACTGCGCTTCATGTTTATTGTTTATGACCTAACATTCATGAAACCAGTATTTAACAATCCTTTCACATACAGATGGCTCATTAAACACCTAATACTGTCTTTATCTTCAAAAATAAAGGAGGCTAACTTTCATCCTTTCTTCAAGACGATCCCCCCACCAAGTTGTCTTTACTCATTCATAGATTGTGTAGTTTTTAATTACTATCAGTATGACCTATTTTAACTGTATTTAAGAACATTCCTTATATGTCAACATTTACTAAGGAGCCCTGTTGTCACTGTAGGCATGTGTTTTACTTGGAGGGAGAAAGATGCAGATGCCCGCTCCTGTAAAGATTTACAAGAATTGACTTGATGGCAGTGGGTTTTTAAAGTTTACAAATTGCCAGCTAGATGGCAGTGACCTTAACTTTGAAGCGCCAACCATTAACAAGGGAGTGTAATTTCAGTAGAGGATACAATAAGGTATGACACCTCACTTCTGTGGTAGTTGGAGCCTTGAATCCTAACCCAGACCCCATCATTCTAAAAAGGCTCTCCCTGCTTCAAATGGGAAGTCCGGGACTTGACAAGGATATTTCCGGATGGGGAAATCTTTGGGTCCTGTCTCATCTCTCCATGGCCTACTGCACACATACCCAGACTTCATGGGCCTTGAAAGCAGACTTCTGTGGTCATATTTTTACTTCCCTGGCAGCCTAATTCTTCTCCCTCGATATACAACTAACTCTTCATCCACACAACTCTCTCATCTCCCTGCTCATTCTCACTCGCTACTTAGGGTTCAAGTTCACAACGAGCCTGTAGGACAGAGTGGATTCTTGAGATCGTCTCTTACTGGAGTGGAACGCCTCATCTTTTTCCCGCGGAGCGGCTGCTCCCGAATTGAGGAACTCCCTACCCCACCAGGGACCCTAGTGTGGGGCACCCCACGGACGACACCCCGCGCTCCCCTCAGCCGGCACCCTCCCCGCCCCCATCCTCTCCCTCTCCTTTCTTGGAAAACTACTGCCAGCAGAAATGTACTGGGCTCGGAGCAACCGGCGCCTGGCAGATTTGGCTCCGTCGGCCTTCCACAGAGCAGACCCGCGAACCAAGTCCCCGGACGTTACTCGAGCTAAGTCAGGCGATTCCCTCGGAATCGTAGCGGCCGAAACAAACCCCCCACGTTTCTCTCGAGCCCGCTACCCTGAGTTCGTTACCTTTCTCCCAGCTTCCCGACACCACCTGGGGGCCGAATTTCCAAAGCACGCAGTTTCTCTCGGCAAACAGGGAGAGCCGCCAAAACGCCACTCCTCCGCCCACCCGCCGGCGCGGTTCAAATTTTAAACATCTCCGCCCGCGCTACGTCATCACGCACTACGTGCCGCTCGCGAGACGCGCTTCTGCGCCGCCGCCGCCGCGCCGCCGGAAGCCCGTGTGCTGCTTGTGCCGCGTCGCCTCGCCGGACCGGCTGGCCGCTCCCGGCTTGAGTAAGCGTCTCCCCCGAGCTTCGTAGGACTCCCCCACATAGTGTGTAAGGACCCCCGGGCTCAGGGTGAGGGGCAGGCAGCGCGAGAGCTGGAGTTGCCCTCGAAACACTCTCCGTACAGCAACATGGCCGCGCCCGTGGGCTGTGAGGAAGAGAATGGGCGTTTTTCTCCTCCTCGCCTTGAAAGGGGCGTTTCCCCCCCCGAGCTTAGTCGGACTCCCCCACACAGTGTGTAAGGACCCCCCGGGCTCAGGGTGAGGGGCAGGCAGCGCGAGAGCTCGGAGATGCCCTCGAAACACTCTCCGTACAGCAACATGGCCGCGCCTGTGGACTGTGAGGAAAAGAATGGGCGTTTTTCTCCTCCTCGCCTTGAGAGGGGCGTTTCCCACCGACCCTACTTAGAAAAGCATGATTTTCTCAGGAAGGGAGTTTGGAAGGCGGCCAGCGTCTTTCCCACACGGGACGCTGTGAGGAAGGAGGTAGTGCCTGTTGAGGGGCCATCGCTAGGATCCTGGGCTCAATTCCAACCCACCTGTCGGCTGCTCGTGGGGAGGAAACGCGAGGGGGAAGAGGTCAGAGCCGCAGTCCGGATACCTGGTTGTACGCGAGTTTTAATTTCGAGAAAGTTACGTTTCCTGTTCGAGGTCTTCCCCGCTAAATGTCTCATTCTCAGAAACAAACAAGGCTCTAAGTAACTGGCCCATTGTCATCCAGTAATTTCCTGCTCTTACCCACCCCATTCGAGACTTTACATCTTTAAGGGAGAAGACAGGCTCAGCCTCATCTCTCTGCCCAGAATGGATGCCTGGACCACCGACTTTGCCAGCCCACAGCACCACCCTAACCAATCCCACTAGCATGGAGTCGCTTCTGACACACAGCCTATAGGGCAGAACAGAACTGCCCCTTTGAGTTTCTGAGACTGTGACTCTATGGAAGCAGAAAGCCTCATTACCACCCCCACTCACCCTTCCCCAAAGCTAGTAGTTTCTCACTGTCATTCGTAGCCCAAGTCGTAACCCCATAGGGCACCAGGGCTCCTCATTCAGCGCTGCTACCAAAGACCAAACTCGAACTCACTGCTATTCAGTTGACACCTACTCATAGGGGCCCAGTAGAGCAGGGGAAAACTGCACCTGTGGGCCAGTACCTGGGCTACCATCAACAATAACAATTAGCGTTTTTTTCTGAATGATTGCTGTGGATCTGGTACTGCATAGCATTTCGTGTAAATAGACTTTCTTCTTACTGTATTCTCTAAACTGCCCTCGGAGAGGCGATAAGAAATGATGAAATGGAGGCTTAGTGAGATCAAGTAACTGGTCTACGGTCCCATTGCTAATGCCTTTGGAGGTCAAAAGCTTGGTTTGAATGTTGTGATTAGTAACTGTGGGAGTTGCAATGGGCTGCATGGCAATGAGTGTGGTTGGTTTTGGAGTGCTATTAACCACTCATTTATTTCTTATTCTGGCCCCCTCTTCATTTCTCCATTGCACTAGAGTGAGAAAGTAATATCCATAGCTATAAGTCATCTCTTGAGAAAACATGTTTTAAAAAACCTAGCTTCCTGACGAGGACTGCTCAGAACCAATTACAGATATGGTCCTGTCACATATTTTACTAGGCCTTCGTGCTTTTGATATATGGTCAAAATTGTATTTTGTTATGCCTAGACACTTTCAGAGCCCTGCTGGTGTAGTAGTTAGGTCTTGGGCTCACCATAAGATCAGCAGTTCGAAAACACCAGCCAATCTGTGGGAGAAAATGAGGCTTTCTATTCCCATAAAAAGTTATAATAGTCTTGGAACCCACTAGGGCAGTCCTATACTGTCCTATTGGGTCTCAGTGAGTGGAATAGACTCTGGCAGTGAGTTTTCTTTGAGTGGCTTTAGGCTGCTGACCTCAAGTTCAGCAATTCAAGCCCACCAGTGGCTCTGCTCCCGTAATGATTTACAGCCTTGGAAACTCAAAGGGGCAATTCTCTTCTGCCCTATAGGGTCAGTAAGAGTCAAAATTTACTTGATACCAATGAGACTACTAGTTTGGTTTCTAACCTCCCCCCCCTATAATTTTATTGATAGCAGTGCTTTAGTAGGGTAGTGTACTGGAGAATGGGCTAATTAAGGAGTATAGTTGAAAAAAACCCACCAAAACCAGCTGTTTTGCTAATGTGTGTAAGAAGCATGAGGCAGTTGGCTTCTGTAAAGATTATAGCTTTGGAAACTCTTAGGAGCAGTTCTTTGTCCGAAAACAGGGGTGGGAGAACCTTTTTTTTTTGTCCTGCCAAGGGCCTTTTGGATATTTTTAACACCATTAACTCACCCCTGACATGATGGCTGAAACTGCTTCTCTTTGATGAGGTGTGTGATGTTTGCTGGTATTGATGATTTTGTGGGCCTAATATGACCTACTGTACCCTATCTTATAGGGTCACTATGAGTCAGAATTGATGATGACAGTGGGATAATGGCCTGTAGGAGCCCAGGTAGAGTAGCAGTTTGGGGCTGCTAACTGCAAGGTCAGTAGTTCAAAAGCCCCAGCTGCTCCAAGGGAGAAAGAAGGTTTTCTACTCCAGTAAGGAGTTACAGTCTCAGAATCCCACAGGGCAGTTTTACCCTCTCCTGTAGGGTCACTGTGCGTTGGCATGGGTTCAGTGGCAATGAAATCAGATTGATACAGATGGACATTTCCACCCTTCTTCTAGAAAAGGATCATGGTTAGTTGTAATTAACTCTATGGAAGTAGGTTTGATTTTATTTTCCTGTTAACTTCCTATCTTGGAATTCTGTGCCCCTGTCTAGGTAGGTTCATATCATTAAGAAGACTGAATTCACATAGGTGATGTAGTGTTCTTTGCTTCCACAGGGCGCTTTCATCTCTCAGGATTCATTGATACCCTCACTCAGAGATTTTATACTTGCTGGCTAGGTCCACGGATTTAAGCTGAAGTTGTGGAGGGTCCAGAATGAGAAGAAGAAATTGAGTTTGCAGAACTGAGATCAGGTTTTAGCCACCTTTGGCCAAATTGGCTAAACAATTTGAAATGATCAACAATGACATTAAAAGAAGCTTATATTAAAAGGTGCAATTTTCTTAAAGTTGCTATGTTAATGCTAAATATGTAAGAAAAATTGATATTCTTGCACCACAAATAAATGTGTATGAAATTATTTTTACTGAAATACAGACTACTTATAGGTGATCTGGAAAGTAGAATTTGACTTCTGCAGGTGTTTTTATGGAGTAGGATGTCTGTGGTGCACCAGCTGTCACATGGATGGTTAGTGGATCACCTTTCTTTTATCAACAAGATAAACTATCAACTCCACCAGCATCATGAGCCTTACTGTCGTAAAAATGAGCCCACTGTCAACTTTGGTTCTCTTCACATGGATACTACATCTTCTTTTGAACCCTCTGCTGCGTCTCTTGCTTCTGACATGACCAGGGAGCCTGAGAATGACGATAGGCAAGATAGTGACATGCTCATAGAAAAATATGTTTTTCGATCTGAATTATTTGATGTCACCAAACCCTATATAACTTCAGCTGGTCATGAAGAAGACCAACGAAATAATGAAAAGAAAGATCTAATGGATGGTGTTAAAAGAGAGATCTCCACTTCTGTCATTGGGAAGGTAAAACATTTTAAATATTTATTTTTTATATGAAACAAATGTATCATGAACGCATCTCTGCTATCTTGTGATTTACTAAGTATAAAGGAAAATAGCAATAAGACCTAACAAAGTTTAGGATATCCAGAATAACCTTTAACTTTTCACAAAGGTTCTCCCATTACTGTAAGACCAAGTTTTCATAATTCACAATCAGACTTCACAGGAAGTAAATGTAAGCTAAACATACAGTCAATCAAAAGTCTGCTTTTCTACTTAGATTCTTATATTGATGGCGTTTTTTTACATCTGATGTTACTAAAAGATGATTCCTTTTCTGCAAAATTGCAAGGCAGCAAATGGTTTTTGGGATGTCTTTAGAGGCCCATCCTTTGGAAATAATCTCAAATATTAAAGTTTAGAAGAAGGCATGTTTCTGATAAAACTGGTGATGGAAATAGCTATTGTAGAAAAATATATGTCTGTACTCTTTATTTGTACAGTCACGGGTGTAATCTTTTACTAGAATTTTCAGAATGTCTTTTACGATCAAATTATACTTTATTATTTTGTAGTTTTGTAAAGATCAGAAATTATATAAAGTATGTCAGCTAGTTTATATTTTGGGGTAGTGATAGGAATAACATTTGCTATTCCCCCCAAACAAATGTTGGAATTCCTTCTATTTGCCATTGTACTTAGTGGGATGATGCAAGATAAGCACAAGCTCTGCCCTCTTGAATCTTGTAACTGAGTGGGGAAGAAAAATAAAAAGTAAAGAAGAAAGCGTGCTGAGAGTTAACATAAATACATTAACAGATAGTATAACTACTCGAAGGAGAACTTATGATTTCTTCTTGCACATTTTTTTCCTTTAAACAAATATTTACTGAACATCTGTTGTGTCAGGTACAGGGAAGAAAATGTCTGAGATCTTAGAAACAGAGACCATAAGTAATGGTTCCATTACTATTATACTCCAAGCGTCCACTCCCATCTAGCTTGACTCATAGGGTTTCCGAGACTGTAAATGTTTATGGGAACAGGCACCCTCATCTTTCCTTTGGATTAGCTGGTGTGTTGGCAGTTAGTAGCTCAATACTTGGCCAATCATGCCACCAGGGCTCCTTACTATTAAACTAGCTCAGACAAAGAATAGACACCTTATAAAGAACTTTGCAACTTATAGCATATGTAATGGTTCGGTTCTTATGTCTGATAAGTTTCTCATATTTTAATATTGAAAAATAAGATGATCATATGTAATGGATGTTATGACAAGACTTATCTTATTCCAGATATCCTAAAGCAATTTATATGATTAGCCTACATTTTAAGTTGATATAACAACAAATATTTATTGTTAATCTGCTAGTGTTGATACCATGTAGACACTGAAGTTTCAACAATAAAACATACAAAGCCTCAGTGTTGTAGGCATTCTTTTTTATGGAGTTGTTAAATACAGAATGGTGTTAATAATATTTGACTCAAACCTAACTCTGATCAGTTGGAGAGTTATTATAAATACATTGCATTTTAAAAAATTGTAGTACATGGATTGTCCCTCTCCTCAAAAATGAAATCTGAGAATACTTATACCATGTACTAGTATACCACCTTACATGATGATATGGCTTACTGATTATTATGTCACTATCACACTATATTTTATCATATGGTGGTCCTGGTGTGTGCCATAAAGTTGATGCTGACCCCATAGTAACTCTGTATGACAGAGGACAACTGGCACATATGGGTTCTAGGTTACAACCTGTATAGGAGTAGATCCACAGATCTTGTCTCCTGCAGAACTGCTGCTGGATTTGAACTGCTGGCTTAGGTTAGCAGCAGAGTGCTTTAAACATTGTGCTACCAGAGCTCCTTATTATGTTGTACTAATTCTTAATAGTGGTAGTAAGATAAATAACCCTTCATCACCTATTAAATTGATATTATTTTGGTAAAGTTTGTCTCCTTAATCTGTGTCCGTTCTACTGATTTTGATCTCAACACATGATTATTACCCACCACATAAAGGTTGGCATACATATTAGAACAATATAATGAAGAAAAATAAATTAATATATTTTTAAAGGTTTATGTTAGGATAGTTGGCAACATAATTTTCCCCCTGTAATTTATTTACCTTTTAGAAGCGTAAAAGATGCATTGTTTTCAATCAAGGTGAATTGGATGCTATGGACTATCATACAAAGGTATGTGTTAAATGTTCATTGATCACATCTGAAGATTTATTTGAAGTAGTATGAATAAAGGACTCACTAGGTGGAGCAAGTGGATAAGCACTTGCCTACGAGGTGGAAGTTTGGTAGTTCAAACCCACCCTTGGAAGCTGTGGTAATCTGTTTCTGAAAGATCACAGTTTTGAAAATCCTGTGAAATTTGACTCTGTACACATGAAATCACTATGAGTCAGAATAGACTGACAGCAACTTACAACCACAAAAGGTTGGTTAAATATGAGATTGTAAATGTATTGAAGATAGCTGAGAACATAAAAATTGAGTCCTTAAGTACCAAAAGTCCACATATTCAGTTAATTTTAGAAAAACATGGCCTGAAAATGCTTTTTGTGAGATTAAACTGTAGAGCTATATAAAAATCCAGGATATATTGTGAGGCAAGGATAACTTAAGATGTTAAATGAAATTAGATAACTGAATTTCTTGATTTATGTATACTGACATTGCTAAAAATTAAAATGCTGGTGACAATAATTAATATAAATCACGAAATGTTCATATGCCTCAGCATGGAATAAAGCTTAAAAAGCCCCGAAAGAATATCAAAAAAAAAAAAAATCTTATTTAGAACTCTCTGTGCTTCAGCAGCAAATTTGAATAAAGATAGTTCATGGCTATTTATGATCAGTGAACAATTTCATAGATTAGAACAGCGGTTCTGAGAACCTAGGGGATTAGAACAGCAGTTCTCAAAGGGCCAAATGACCCTTTCACAGGGGTCGTCTAAGACCAATGGAAAACACATTACGATTTACATTACGATTCATAACAGTAGCAAAATGACACTGATGAAGTAGCAACAAAAATAATTTTATGGTTGGGGGTTACCACAACATGAGAAACTATATTAAAGGGTTGTGGCATTAGGAAGATTGAGAAACACTGGATTAGAATATATTTACTGTAATTTGGTGTTAATGAATGAGCCAATAAAAGGACTGATGCTAGGGCTGTGAATAGTGAAGATGCTAAAACTCAGATCAACTCATAGAGACCCTGCAAGATAGGGTGCAATTGCTGCTAGCATTTCTGAGGCTCATCTTTCTCCCTGGGCAGCTGGAGGGTTGAAACTGGTAACCCACTGGCCAGGAGTGCTCCTTAATTTGCTAAGATAGCTAGGTTATTTTCGGGAGCATGTTGTTTTTATTATTAGGTGTCATTGAGTTGGTTCTGACCCATGGCGACCCTGTGCACAACAGAACGAAACACTACACGGTCCTGCATCATCTTCACAATTGTTCCTGTGCCTGAGCCCATGGTGCAGCCACTGTGTCAGTCCATCTCGTTGAAGGAGCCTCCTCTTTTTCACTACCCCTCCACTTTACCAAGTGTGATGTCATTCTCCAGGGACTTGTCTCTCCTGATCACATGTCCGAAAGTTGTAAGACAGAATCTTTCCATTCTTGCCTTTAAGGAGCACTGTGGCCATACTCTTTTGAAAACAGACGAGTTTGTCCATTTTCAGCTGTCCATTGTACTTTCAATATTCTTCACCAGCCCCACAATTCAAAATCATTGAATCCTCAGTCTTCCTTATTTAGTGCCCAGCTTTCAAATGCATATGAGGTAATGGAAAAAACCATAGCTTGGGTCAGGGACACCTTAATCTTCAAAGTAACATCCTCGCTTTTCAGTTCTCTAAAGAGATCTGGTGAAACAGATTTACCTAATGCAACATGTCATTTGATCTCTTGACTGCTATTCCCATGTGCATTGATTGTGGATCTGAGTAAGACAGGAATCTTTGACAACTTCAACCTTTTCTCCATTTATCATGATGTTACCGATTGGTGCATTTGTGAGGATTTGGGTCTCTTTACATTGATTAGTAATCCATACAGAAGCTGCAGTCCTTGATCTTCATCAGCAAGTGCTTCAAGTGCTCCACTATCAGCAAAGCAAGGTGTGTCAGCTGCATATTGCAGGTTGTTAATAAGCCTTCCTCCAACCATGATAGCACATTCTTCGTCATACAGTCCAGCTTTTCTGATGCTTTTCTGATGCTGTCTTTGAAATGGACCCAAATATGGATCTCATCCAGTCAGTTGTCCAAGTACCTGTCTTCCACATTTCCTGCGACAGACAAGTAAGTGTTTCCAGTGCCAGTGTTGTCCCCTATGGGTCAGTGAGGGATGTCGTGTCTCATAGTGGGGTTGGCCATGTGGTCTTCTCTGTGGATTGTTTGCTCTGAGTGGGAATATCGTCCTCAAGGGTTGGTGGGCCAGGATGTGCTCCACCCTTTCTTCCTCCCGCTTCATTTGCTCCCGTGTGCTCTGATCAGACATGTCTATCAGCTTGTTGAAACATTTCAATTTGCATTCCATCAATTCCTGGAGGCTTGTTTTTGGTTATTGCTTTCAGTGCAGCTTGAACTACTTCCTTTACTACCTCCGGTTCTTGCTCGTATGCTCCCTCTTGAAGTGGTGGAATGTTGACTAGTTCTTTTTGGTACAGTGGCTCTGTGTTCCTTCCTTGTTCCTTTAATGCTTCCTGTATCATTCAATATTTTGCTTGTAGAATCTTTCAATATTGCAATTTGAAGCTTGAATTTTTCTTGAGTTCTTTCGGTTTAAGATATGCTGAGTGTGTTTTTCCCTTTTGGTCTCCTTGCGATAGATCTTGCATGTTTCATTAAAGTATTTGATTTGTCTTCAGCTGACTTTTGAAATTTTCTGTTTGGCTCTTTGACTTCATCCATTTGCTTTCACTATGTAAATTAAGAGCAAGTTTCAGAGTTTTTTCTGATATCCACTTTGTTCTTTTCTCTCTTTCTTGTCTTTTTAATGACCCTTTGCTTTCTTCATGAATGATAGTCTTGATGATCTTCCACAGCTCATCAGGTTTCCGTTATTAGTGTTCAGCGTGTCAAATGTGTTCTTGAGATGGTTTCAAAGTTCAGGTGGGATAAACTCAAGGTTGTGACTTGGCTCCCGTGGACTTGTTTTCATTTTCTTGAGCTCTAGCTGGAGCTTACATATGAGAAGTTGCGATGATCTGTTCCACAGTCAGCACCTACCCTCGTTTTAGTTGCTGATATTGAGCTTCTGCATTGTCTCTTCTACATCTGTCATCCCTCAGATGCGCTCAGTTTGATTTTTATGCATTCTCTCTGGAGAAGTCCATGTGTATAGTTGCCTTTTGTGTTTTTTAAATAAGCTATTTTGTTATAAACAAGTCATTGCATACAACTTTCCTCTAGTTCTTTAATGCTTCCTCCCCCTCACTATCATGATGCCAATTCTGCCTTACAAATCCGGCTAGACCAGAGCATGTACACAGGGACAGATAAGAGTTGGAAACACAGGGACTCCAGGATGGATAAACCCTTCAGGACCAATATTGAGAGTAGCCATACCCGGAGGGTAAGAGGAAGGTGGGGGTAGGAAGGGAAAACTGATCACACTGACATACCTATAACCCCCTCCCAGGGGGATGGACAACCCAAAAGTGGGTGAAGGAGGCATCAGATAATGTAGGACATGAAAAATAATAATAATTTATAAATTATGAAGGGTTCATGAGGGAGGGAAGGTGGGAGAGGGAGGGGAAAAGTGAGGAGCTGATACCAAGGGCTCAAGAAAATGTTTTGAAAATGATGGTAACAGATGTACAAATGTGCTGACACAATGGATGGATGTATGGATTATGATAAGAGTTGTATAAGCCCCCAATAAAATGATTAAAAAAAAAAAGTAATTGGTCTCGCAAAATTCTACCTCCAACTTTGCTTCTATCACCAACTTCATATTTTCTACCTACTATTTCTTCTTTGTTTCCAACTTTTACATTCCAGTCGCCAAAAACTATCAATCTTATTACGTGTTTGTTCAGTTTCCGAGTAAAATCTGTGGTAGAATTCTTCAATTATTACCACTAGCTTTTGTATGTGGTCCATACATTTGAATAATCGTTGAATTGATTGGATTTCCTTGAATGTGGATATAGTCCCATCACAGACAGCATTGCACTTCATGATTCATTTGTCAAGTTCCTATTTGACAATGAGTGCCATGCCATTCCTCTTGATTGTGTTCTGCTAAGCAAAGTAAATCATAATTTCTGATTCCAAATGGCCAATCCCAATCCATTTCAGCGAACTGATGCCCAGGGTACTGATCTTTCTATGTTCCTTTTCATTTTTAACCACTTCTAATTTTCCTGGAGTCATACTTCACACATCCCAAGTTCCGATTAATAGCAAATGTTTGCAGCTGTTTCTTCTTACATTGAGTTGTGCCTTATCAGCAAATGAAGATCCGTGAAGGCTCCCCATCCCACTGGCTTTAGTCCAGTATCATCACCATGGTTGGTTCCTCTGAGAAAGCATTCTTCCCAAGGCACATTTCAAATGTGGGACCGAAGGGGCACTATCTCCAACAACGCTCTACTTCCTTTGTGTAGGCCTTCAGTATCTGACAGTATCTCCAAACTATGCATCAGATTTGCAGCGGCTACTTCCTCCCAAAGTGGGCAGCTGAGTCTTTGTTTTTTGTTCTTCCTCTGGAAACCCCTCTGAAACCTCTTCACTTTGGGTGACCCTATTGGCATTTGAAATACTAGTGACACAGCTTCCAGTATTAGAGTAACACACAGGCCATCACCGTATGACAAGTGGTGGTTAGGGAGCATATGTTAAGGAAAAACCCGGAGTAGGACTTACCAACTTTGTTTTCTTCACTGAAATTGTCAGTCTCCCTCTCTTCCTATTTATCTCTTCAATCTGACTCATTAATTAAATTTATTTACACATGTTCATTGAATGCAGACTACATATTGGATACTGTCAATTCATGGACTTCAAGGTAGATGTAGTCTTTCTATCACAGAGTTCATGATCTTGAATGATGTAAACAAATTAAATCAGAATACGAGCATTATCATAGAAGAATTGCTGTAACCGTGGGGTACATAGGATAGGAGTCCAAACCAGACTTGAGACAGGTGTGAAGGAA